AGAGAGAGAGAGAGAGAGAGAGAGAGAGAGAGAGAGAGAGCAAGAGAGAATCCGGTGATTCGCGAGATTGGATTATTCCTGCCGCCTTACGGACACGTTCACATGCGAACGCGCTGTCGGGACCAGCGGGTCGCGTTGGAACGCAGCATCGACGAGAACGACGCGCACGAGCGGCTAGGTTAGAAGCAGAGGTGAAGCTGACCTGACAGCGCGCGCGGCTACGGGTTGCGCTGTCAAACGCGGCGGAATCGTGCACGACGACGTACCTTGGTCCTGATTGAAACCGGCATAGAGCAAGCCGTTGCCGTGCGGATTCCCTGCAGTGAGGTTCATCGTGGATCATTCCCTCATGAGGCACATCCGGGCGGTCTCTCGCGCGTCTCGCCAAACACAGTCACATCCTCCTCGCCGGCAAGCTGCGTGACACTTTTCGCCTTAGCGCTGCGAACGTGGTGGTCATGAATTTACGTGTGCTGATGTGTGTGCGGTATTATCCAAATGGAGGGGAACACAAGTTCCGTGCGCTTGCGCGTTCGTGACAGCGTTAGCAGACGCGTCTTCTTAAGCCCTATGCACAATATCAGGTAATAGCGATAGGAATAGTATAGAAGTAAGCGATATATAATTGTCACCTCCCGTTGCACAATACCGCAAGAGAAATAAAGACCAACCACAATCATCATCACCATATCACAATCAAACCACACATAGACTGTAGTCGGCTCTTTTATTTGCTTTAGGTAAACCTAAAAACCTAAAAACATCAAAAGGCTGAAGTTTATTAATAGATAAATAAATATAATATAAATATAATTATTATAATTAATAAATAAATTATTGTAATATTATATCAAAATTCCTTTAAGTATTTTTTAAAGGTTTTTGTTAGCAAATTTTGGTAAGTATATTTTATTATGTTTGAAAATATTACAGAGAAAATACATCTGAAATGTTTTCATATGTATACATTGTTGTGTGTATTATATTTTCACGCAAATTTATATTTAGGTAAAATGGAAGATGAATTGACACTTATTTGCATAATGCAAACATCTTTCAATTTTGCGTCCCTATAATCTTTCATGTTTTTATCATACAAGTAAGGACGATTTTGTACAAGGTCGATTAGAAGTTTATCGCCGAATTTTATATTATCGCTCACTTGGTTGCCATTATTGCCATCAAACGTATCTTATGTGTTGAACAATAATCCATCATCCGGAAAATTATTTTTATTATAATATTCGAGCTCGGAAAAATCCGAGCGCTATGATTGGTAGATTATAAGGCGATAGACATAGATTTCCAACTTGTCGGAAATTTTATTGCTATTTCGTGTTCCGATCTGCATTGACATATGCATTGCCGAACGAAAACCTGTTGGATTTCTCTGTTCTTATCGCTATTTCTATTGTCTGTGTTATTTCTATCGCTATTCCCTCGCATTGTGCAAAGACCTTTATGGATCTTACGCACCGCGTGGCGAGAAGCGACGCGTTACAGCCATCGCACACAAAACGTATATGCATCTATGTTATGCACGCATTTTATGTGTGATGAACCTTAGTCGATGATGAATTTATAGATTTCGTCTGGAATTCTGTGCTTTGTTCCATTTGTTGTTAAAGGAAGCGTTTCGAAATCCACCTAAAGATGTTTTATTTTTAAGATGAATAGAATACGTTGAAATTTGTCCTTGAATTCAAGTATTTCGATAATAGTGACACAAGAGTACCGTACACGAAAGTTTTGCGAAATTGCTTTGAGAATTTTGCAATAGAAATTCAGAATTGTTTACAGAACGAAGATATATAATAAGAGTATTTATAACTCTACATTTATATATAACACATTTTTTAGCAGCTCTTTTAGTCATAAAAAATATATTAATATTTCAGAGAGGAAGAATTTCTAAGTCCACCCAAATCTTCTTTTATTCTTAAGATAAGCAAAATTTCTAAAATTTTATTATTTCTATCGTATTCTAAGTAAACAGCAACTTTATTTATGATTAACTAACCGAGCTTATTTTTACAACAGAGTTCAAGATTCGCCCGACAAGAAATTCGTCATTTACACTCATGCTCCAAGCGTTCCTTTACCGACTCGCGTGTCTCAGCCGTTTGACGTGGATCAGCTGATAGCCGCCATCTAGAGCGCGCTGCGTTCATCCAACATGGCCGCGCCTATCGCCGCTGTCCCGCTATAATGACAACACACAGTAGTACACAGCAGATAGTTTCGCACATGTACGTTCACACCATGTAATGAATTACAGTTCACACGTGTTGACGTTATACGTTTCTCGGAGATGCGTGACGCGTCACCTGCGCGGAGCTACTAACAGGTAAACCTCGTAACGAGCCAGGACGACCGAGTATATCAGTATTAAGAGTAATGTTTGTTAGGTTAGGTCACCTGAGCGGGATGAATAATCTCTGTAAGAACGTGTCGCGGGCGAGAAACGTGCATACCTGCTGTACGCTGCTGAAAGAAACGCCGCAGAATCTGAAGAGCAAGAAGCACAGCTCACAGCAGTGGCTGGCGAGGCAGCTGCGCGATCCCTATGTGGAGAAAGCGAGGCAGGAGAAGTACAGGTGCAGAAGCGCGTTCAAGCTTTTGGAAATCCAAGAGAGATTCAAGATTCTCCAGCCAGGACAGGTTGTCGTGGACTGCGGAGCGGCGCCGGGTAGTTGGACCCAGGTCGCCGTCAACACGACCAACGCGTTGAGCAAAGAAGACTGTTCTGTTGGTAAGGTGTACGCCATAGACAAATTACCGTTTTATCCCGTGGAAGGTGCGGTCGTTATGGGCAATATGGACTTCACATCCGCCAGGACGCAGGACGAACTACGCAAAGCGCTGCAGGACGTCAAGGTGGACGTGGTTCTATCCGACATGGCGCCGAATGCGACTGGCGTGAAGGAGATGGACCATGAGAATATAATATTGCTCGCATACGCCGCCATGAAATTCGCCCTGCAAGTCAGTAAACCGGACGGCACGTTCATTGTGAAAGTGTGGGATGGCGGGAAGTCGATGCAATTGGAGCAGGACCTATTGAGATTCTACAATAAGATTAAGGTAGTCAGGCCGGATGCCACGAGAGACGAGTCGACTGAGAAATTTTTCTTAGCTAGAGGTTTCAAAGGACTTAAGTCGAGTTGATGATGCAAATGAGACCGACCTTTCCGTGCTGAGAGCGCAATTTTTGTTTTTACTAGAATAGGAACGTACGAGGACGTGTACAAATCAGGTAGGTTTGATAAATAAAAGAAAAAGAACGACAGAATATTTTGGTATCATCGAATGCATCTTTTATAACTCCCTTTGTCATCTAACAGGCGGCCTTGCACAACACGACAAAGATGCAATATACATCGATATATTTCGCTATAAATAATACAATAAGATTTGATACAGTCATGATTAATACGCATCGGGACGCGATTGTGTATGAGTGTGTGACGGTGTGTGTTAACGCTTACACTTCTTTCATATATTATATGCTTATACTTTACGCTATGTATATACAATTTCCGTAATAAAATTAATATGTACACGAATCGACATTCAGTATACGAGAGACATTACACACCACATTGAGAAACGCACGTAGAGCAGTAGAGTTACTGGCCGCACAATGTCAATTATCATAGAACTTCCCGCTTCGTTGTGTCGCGTCATGTCGCGTCGCGCAATAACAAAATCGAAAGGAGGAGATTCTCGAAACGTTTCGATGCTAATCGCGACGAAGAGACATCCGCTATAACAAAAACTGCGACTTTCGCCGCTTTTTACACAGAGAGAATATTATAGTTACTTTCTATGTAAATTTTTTTCAATTTTGCTACGTGTTTAGCGCAGGAATAGGCAGTCAGTAAGGCTCATCTTGCTGAGGAACATAGTAAATTTCGCTGGAGATACAGCGGAGTTTTTGATAGCACATTTCATACACAATTCCTGAAATAGAAATATAAAAGCCTATATGTGAGACAAAAGGGGACAGTGTATTGCGACAGAATGTCGATATATTCTTCGGCTACAAAATTCTACAGTAGTTTTTACTACAAAATTCTCTCCGTTTACACGTCGAGGTCGGCTGGGAATTCGCCGAGTTATATCACGGGGAGGATTTCGTGCACGCAAAGTGTTAACAAGAATCAATGAGTATCTTTTCTAGTCGTCGTGCCGCAGCCAGAACACCGGAGCTTTCGTTATAGCGGTGTGTCGACGACGTTTCCACCGAAGTGCAGTCGTCTCACAAGTGTGAACGGGATGGTGAATAGGACCAAGTGAATAACGGCCCTAAGCTCGTCGAAATTTTTCTACTCTCGAGAACTAGCGATTTCGACGGTTACTTCGAGTTCCATCTTCGAAGCGTCGACATGAAACAACGATCGATTAGGTTCACATCGAAAACACTTAAACTACGCTGTTGCAGGCTACGCGATGCAGGTGTCTACCCGCGGAATCCAAGACGTCGAAATTGCATGTCCGTTCACACTCACACGTGAGTCGCCAATTTCGAGTCATTCTCTCGGACGCCTCCTGCGATGGTGACGGTGTAACCGAAGTTAGGGTAAAAATTATCGACATGCAATTGTTGATCCCCCTTAGTCATTTACCCTAAACAAAGGTTTAGAAATAAAATAGTTTTTTTAATTCTCAGTTATGCTCTTCGTAGTTTGTTTAGGTTAAATTATTAATTTTTTTTAATACTTGTAAAATATGTAAAAATATAAAAACACGTTTTTTAAAATATTATATCAAAGGAAACCTCTTCGTACGTGAATTAAAACATATAATAATAATAATAATAATAATAATAATTTATTTTTTCTTGCGACCAGCGACATAGTTGTTCATAGTTTCCATTGTAAAGTTCTTTTTTGGAATCATTAAGTGCAGGTAAGAAGTTTAATTGCAATGCTGGTCGCAAGAAAAATTACTTTTTTTTTTGCAGTTATATTATAACTTTATATATAGTTTTATTTTGTAAAATATTGTATGCCAGAGGGAATATTTTTCTCGTGAATTAAAATATATAATATTAATATATAATATAATAACGTACTGTGGTCTTTCTTGCTCTAACCTGGTTTTTCTTGCGACAAGCGACAGTTGTTCACACAGTCTTAGTTATAAAATTTTCTCTTAGAATCATAAAGTGCAGGCAGGAAGTTTGGCTGCACTGCTGGTCGCAAGAAAAAGCAGAAAGGGAAGGGGGGTGTGTCGATAATTGTTTCACCCTACTTCTCTACATCCCACCCCGCAAATCTCGACTCAGTGACGAGTGCGGGAACTGATGCTGTGTTACGATCAACGCTCACAAGTTCCGTCGCCGATAGCGAGGCGACGCGAACTCTCGTGATTTTTCGTACGACCGGAAATCGTGATTTACTACTCTATAATAACGCTAAAAAAATCAGTCTGCTGCGATAACACCTCCATGTAGAAGTAGCTCGGCATATCGCTCGCGAGCTCTCGTAAACGCCGCTCATATATCGTTATCTCGAAACTAGCGTTAACACTGACGCGCTCAATGACGGACGCGCGTTCTCAATTCCATCCGCTCTGCGCTTGCTTCCAGTACGGCCTGAGAACTTGTTTCCGATTAATTCCCAGAAATTAAGTTTCCCCTTATTGTACCATCGGCTGTGTGCGTCAAGCTGCATCGAGAACGAAGTGTCCAAGCCAGAGCAAATGTACAATCGATAATATAAATTGAGAACTCGCGTTTTCCCCCGCCCGCAAAACTTGACAGAATTAATGACTTCTTTTTGACGCGCGACAGAATTGACCGGTGATCAACATACTCCTCGCACGCGAAATTTTTCCTTTTTTCTTCTTCATTATCATTCCACACTCGTATCGCAAATGTAACATTAATTGCGATTGTTTCGTCGTGTATTGAACGCATTTTTCATTAGAATTGACAAATATCAGTATTAACGGATTAATGACAGTGATAGCAAGTGCAATCAGTCGAACGAACAATTTTGTTAAAACGCAATTAGAAGTATATAACATTCGGTAGTCGGTGAGATAAAATTGAAGTTTGGAAGTGCCGCGTTTGCAATCGAACGTACGACGAGATCGAGGATCGTCCGTGACTTCTATTTCTACGTAAAAAGTGCTCGTGAGAAGATTAAGGTCCGTGTCAATAGTTACCGCTTGAAACTCGTCCTAAGTGAGAAACTCAGACTTGCACTCAGAGTTAAATGAGAGTTTTTCAGTTGAATCGCGCAATTACAGATATAAATGTCACATATATCAGAGTTCAACTGAAAAACTTGAGTCTAATTCTGATATAAATCTGAATATCTCACGTGGGACAAGTTTCAGTTTGTGACAAATATTAATATGGGCCTCATAGACACATAGAATAGATTCAGCATATATATTTTTGGCAGAACGAGAAGAGTGGAAAAACATAGAATCTCTGTCTTTATCTGCATGGATGAAATGCGCAATCGTTTTTTAACAGTTATGGTAGAGATTGCGTAGATTTTCGAGTGTCAAGAAACACATATGCATGATTAAATTATTTCATCGCTTTGAGTAAGTACCTAATTGCAAATTAGTCCACATTATAATGACACTGATGTCAAACGAATAATATGGTTCGAAGAAAATATGAAATAAAATTTACATAGTTACACACAACATCCTATGATACATTTGGGTTATTGTCATTTGTTAGCCATTATTGTCAGTGATGCGCATGCAGCAACGGGTAGAAATTCGCCGATGTTTTGCTACTCCCTTCGTTCTGCCAAGTCTAATTTGTGACATAAAGAAGTACATGGCATGCTGAGTCTGTCTTTATATGTCTATAGCCTCAAAGGTCTGATCATTCCTTTCTTTTTCGAGGCAGTGTCTTTTCAATTAGCGACTTTGATCTATCTACGCACATTCTGTTGCGACGGCAAAAGACGTGATCTCTAGATGTTTCGCCTGCGTGTTTTGTGAGTGTCAGCTTAGTTAATGAGACTCGACACGAGCAGAGAGCTCCGACGCTCCCCTCGATCGACTTCGCCGCGTTGCGCGCGACGTGCGTTGAAATTCGCGCAATTCAGTATCCTCACGTCGTTAAACGCGACCGGTTCGCGAAGGACACCCGATGCTCGGCGGCGACTCATCAGCGCCTTTGTTTAAATGCGAGACAGCTCCTGCTGGGGCTTCCGTAGAAAGTAGCCCTTCTCGCGTCGACGTCGACGTATTTCGCCGTCGTGTGTCGCAAGACTATTTGCGCGAATCTCTTCTGTCGTCGCTTTCCGGTTACTTTCTCCGCGCTCGGGACGCTTAGCACTATCGATCGCGCGATTATCGTTTCTACGCGAAGGAGAAACAGCCGGAAACGGTAGTCGCGACATGGAGACTCGTTGGAGAGGTTTTATCCCGGATTCCGATATGGGGTCGCGTCTCGTAACGTGACCGTTTCCCTGCACCGAGAGAGATCATCCGATGAAAAAGCGTCGTCAAACGGATATTTCCGACCAAATACCGATCAATCATTAAATCCAATCAGGAGACATCCGATGAGAAATATCGATTCTGAATTCTCTTTGATCGATTTATCTGATGAAATTCAATTTCGCTCAAGTTCAATCGGATGAATCCATTATGATCGGAAGTAGCTGATCAAATCTAATCGGGTATTTTAATCGGATTAAAAAATTGGTCGGAAGTGTCTGTCGGGTGATTTTCCAACGGACAATTTCTCGCAGCGTGCTAAAACGTTCCCATCAGCACGCTCCCGCTAGCCAAAGTGCCTGGAAGACAATTCTAGGAAGGGCACCGTTCTCCGGTCGCTCCTTCTGAGATCGTCGAGATTCCCAGACGATTCGCAACGTTCGCTGGACACGCAATACTATACTATTATACATGTAGTAGCGATTCGCGCGGTTACCGTCGAAGAAATTGGTGCGCTAAAGAAAGCTGTAGCTCCCCCGTCGACGAGATCCCGCGCAGGAAGGAGAATCACCCCAGTGCCTTAATCTTTTCGACAAAGCATTGCTCGCGCACGAAAACGCCGATGTAGTGGAACGTCCGCGAGCGAGAATCCGAGTACTATCATCCCTCGTACGTGAACGGCTTTTCCCCTCTTCTTTCCTCTTCCTCCTATTCATTTGGCACACAGTTCCGAACGGTCACTAGACCTTCTCGAGTGAAGCGACGTAGAAGACGCGAGGAGTCAGTTGAGGAGGAGGAGGATGATGCGTTTAGCCGCTAATTGGCGTTCTTCGCCGTTGCCGCATGAGCGCCTTGTTGGTGCGTCGGCTCCTCGATAGCAGATAGCTCCGGTGGAGTCGTCGCCCGGCCGGCGGTCCCCCCTCGAGCAAGTCGTCGTCTCCCGATCGATTCGTCGGGAACTGATCGACGGGAAAGATAGGGGGGTTCCTGATCAGCGGCATCTTGTTCCAGAGACGAAGCAACGTTGGGGAGGTCTGCTTCTGCCTCTGGGCGATCGTTGCCATCGCCGCCGCCGCCGCTGCTCTCTGGTCCTGCTGTCGATCCGGCTTCCAGCTCCGCGCCGGCAGATGGTAAACTGGTTTCTGGCTGATAGGCACGCTGCTCTTGGTGCTGGTGCTGCCGTAGGCGCCGTCGTTCGACGCCTGATGCGAGTGATGTTTGTAGTTCGGTCTGTGTATGCTGTTGGAGGGAAATCTCACGTAAGCCCGCTGCTGCGACTGCCTCACAGGACTGGAGGGGAACCTCACATAATCCTCGAGGTGCTCGTGACTCGCGGGGACTCGCTCGAGGTCTTCGAAGCGCACGAAGCTGTCCGACCGGGTGTTTCGCGGGGTGGTGTCGGCTCTTTTCGTGTTGTCCTCCAATACGCTCTCTTTAGATACGTTCAACCGTTCCTCGTCGATCGTGTGACTCTCGGTTATCCGGTCTTGCTCGGGCAGATCATACAGCAACGACTCCGACGAGGGTAGCGCTGTTTCTAACGTGTCGTCGCGTCTGTCGTCTTCCACGGGTGTGTCGACTCGCGTCGAGTGCTCGGCTTGGTCGTGTTCAAGGGTACCGGTGAACGCGGTGCCGTGAGATTCTCTAGGCGAGAACACGACTTCTGGAGCGGAGGTCCCGTGGTCTTGACTGTACGATTCTCTGGAGTCGTCGTTGTCGTTGCTCTTCGTCGCGATCTCTCCGTCCGGCGACTGAGTGCTGGTGACCTGTAGCTTCTCGGTGTTCACGTCCAACAAAGTTGTCTCCAGAATGAGGTCACCGTCGATACTGACCTCACTGGAGACGTTAGTCTCCACCTCGTCCTTATCGGTGGGCGTAGATTCGTTAAAGCGGATCACCACCTGGTCGCGTGCGCTGGTCGCCTTCGGATCCGCGGTCTGATTTTGTTGTTGCTGCAACTGTAAACGCTGTTGCTCGCGATGCAGTAGGCCGGGCTTTTGCGTGGGAATCGTCATGCCGGCCTCTCCGTGCTTCAGAATCTCTTCACCTTCCATTTCCGTCGACTCCTCATCCGGCACGTCCGTGCTGTACATGTACTCGTCATCTTCCTCTTCATCGTAGAGGAAGTCGGTTTCATGCGGCTCATCCAGCTTGAGATCCTCCTTCGGCTTATCCTCTGTGCGTGTCTCGTTGTCTCGACGCTTATCCATCTCCGACAGCTTCCACATAGGTGGAAGCCCATAGGAATCTGACGCGTTATCGTTGGTGATCTCCTTCGCGAATGCGTGTGAGGTATGATCGGACGTTAGTCCGATCGCATGGTTGACGGTATTGTTCTCCGCCAACGACAGATTGTCCATTTTGGGTCTGGCAGTTGTACTCGGAATTATCGTAGATGACAACAGTTTCATTATGGGTGATATTTCAGTGACGTTAATCAGCTTGTCCGTCGTCGAGGGATCTTCATTCCCGATATCGCTCGCGTTGAACCTCTTCGCGCTTGACGCGTTCGATAAAGTCTTCAAGTCTGTCGGGATCTTGTAGTCCACCACCCCCGAGAAGCTGGTATCGTTGGTCTCGACTATTTCGGCCACTGGCACCGCCGCGTCCGGCTTCTGCTCGCTCTTATCGACGTTGACGCGCCTGCGATTCTCGTGAAAGAATGTCGAGAGACTCTCCTCCTCCTCATCCTTCTGCTTATCGTCGCCCAACGCGGTGTGGTTCTTCACCTCGTACACAGTGGCCGTCGCCTCGTGCTTCTTGTCATCCGCCAGACCTATATCGTCCACCACAGCCGCGAGAGGATCATTCTGCGACAGAGTTTCTATCGTCTCGGGCTTCGATTCGGAGTTAGAGCTGGGCATCAGCGGGATGTTCAGCTGCAGAGGACCGGTGGGCTGCTTACTCTGCGGACTGGCCTTCTGATTGGCATACAAGGTGTTGAGACGTTGTAGCAGGAAGCTGAAGTGCGCGTTCTCGTCCAAATTGACACTTTTCACGCATCTTTCCATGGCGTCCTCCTGATAACCATCGGGACACGCCGGCAACACGGGTGCTATGAAGATGCTTTTCGGTGTTATCCTCCGCAGAAGAGTCGCGGAGTCCATGCCGGGCTGGGCACCGGCTTGCGTGTCCACCATGAACCACGCCTGCCAGGAGAAGTCGCTGAGAGAGCCGAGATCTTGGGATTTCTTCCTGGCAGCAGGCGCTGAGCCTAATGACGACGACTCGGGTATGCCGGCAGACGTGAGTTCACTGTGACGGATCAGCCCGACGAACATCAGGAGGACGAGGAACATTCTCCAGCGAGAATGCCTTCGTCGTTGGCTCAACATTGTTCTCGTGTTGCCGCGATGAGACTTCTTCACGGAGTGCGTTCGAAGTATCTCAGGGACGCTCTTCTGGATTCCGCTCGTCACCTGCCCCTTAGATGCATCGGTTCAGTCTGCAAGCACAGATAGGAGAGGGATGAAATTAGTCATCGTTCACGCGCATGTGTGTGTGTGCATACGCGTGCGCGAGAGAGCGAGTGTTTAAGTGGTCGAGTGGAGAAATTAGCGACACGTTTGCGCAACGCAAGAGATGAATTAACTTCAGTCGTTAGGGCTTTCACTTAAGTAGCGGTTCATCCTAGGGAGCAACGTTAACCCAGTTTCTAATCTTAATAGACGCCACTTGGCCGATGGTGTGCATCCGCGAATCCGAACGCATCGCTCGTCGGGGCAATTTAGGGACGCGAGTTTCCTCAGAAATTTCTTAGAACGTCGCGCATCTGCCTCGGGTGCTTTCGAGGGACAAACGTTCCCGTCTGTCGGGAAGTATTGCGAACAACGCGGACCAGAAAAATCGTCGAATTAGAGCGAATTCAGTCGGAATTAGATGTCGCGTCTATTATCCAGGATAAAGCGCGAAGAATAGCTAATCGCGAAAAGAATGCAGTATTTAATACAGGAATGCGGGAAAGTTTTTTTTTATTAACAAAAATATATATAGCTCTTAGGAACAAAAACTATTTGACTGCGATGCGAAAACAGAGTTTTAAAAATATCAATTAAATTTTTCTCAATTTAATAATTGATTTGAATAAATATATTTCGATTAAACTAATCGACGATTGGTTCTAGCAAAGTCAATCGAAAAATGTTCAATTGACTATTGATTTCGAACGAACTCAATTAAAAATCGTTCAATTAATGTTTGATAGGAGCAAAAAGAATAAAAAACCGTTCAATTAACAACTAAACTTAGCAATTTTAATTTAAGATTATTTAATTAACTGTTGATACGTACAAATTCAATCGATTCAATAGAAGAGCATTCGATTACTCAGTGTTACAATTGATTTTCTAAGTAATTTTCATAGTATAAATTTGAATCTCGCATCTGAAGTAATCATAGAAGATTTCGATAATTGAAACGCGCCAAGTAGAATCCGTGTTGAAGGAGATTGGTCATATCCATCATCATCGAGCAATCTTCGAATCTTTGAATTGTTCATATCAGTGGTCAATTGAACGCTCTTTAATCAAATTTGCTAAGTTCAACCATTAATTGAACAATCTTAAATTCCTTTCGTTTATATTAATCGTCAATTCAATAGTCTTTAATTGAATTTGATACTTATAAATAAATTTGATATTAAATTGATATTTAATTGAATTTGATACTTAATTGAATTTGATGTTAAAAATCGATCATCAATCGAATGCTTTTCGACTGAATTTGTTGAAATCAATTGTCAGTTAAACGGTATCCGATTATATTGAGTATATCAATCATCAATTAAACACGACAATTAATTAGAAATGCAATTAATCACTCGCGGAATCCTGTGGTGAAAAGTTATATTTCGTAAATTACAAATATAAGAATAACTATGATCGTAAGGACTGGAAGTGGACTCTCTCGTGGATAGAGAAGGAAATTCAATGTATAATTGCGCACATTGCATCGCGAGATGCACCGTTTCCTGAGACGCGAGAGACGCGTTTACTAGGTAGTACCGACACATCGCACGTGCGCGCGCGCGCACATCCTTAAAAGGCTTGCTGCAAACGTGCGTGCCTCATATGCGTACGCGGTCGGATAATGCGCCGCCGTTGTGTGCGTAGTACAGCGGGGAAAAGTGAATGCACGCCGATCTGTTTTTACCGTTACGCAGGCACGCCGGGATTATGTCCGCGGCGTGAATAAAACGTGCAAATACGAGAATCGACTTCCCGATCGTTCGCGTGTCGTCGCCTCGAGTAACGCGTGGTGAGACTTCGTTCGCGTCTTCTGTTTTTCGCGATAACAGCGGGACTAACAGCGGGCCGGTATTTCATGACGTGTTCCAAGTGAAAACTCAGCGGAATCACGTATCTCTTGATAAGGCATTAATTTCTAATATTAATGTAAAAATGAAAGGAAACTACACAGAGAGAATTTTATAGTACAAATTTTTTATTACAGAATTTTTTAACCGATGAATAGGTCAATATTCTATAGTAATTTATTGTTCTTTCATTTCAAATGCATGTTATTCATATTTTAAGAACTGAAACGTACATAAAAATTTTGCTAAGTTTTTAGGAAAATTTAGTGTTCCTTAGCAAGATAGATTTTATTGATAGTCGCTATTTGCGTTACTAGAGTAACACAGTAAAATTTAAAAGGAATTTAGACGAAGAAAAATTACAATATGTATCCTCTTTGTGTATGCAAGATCTAGTGAACAACTATTAACATTACTCTTTAAATTTCATGCAGTGAAATTCGAAAAATACGAGTGATTTTTCACTCATGTAGAGTGAAAGTCTCTATTGCTATGTCTTCGAGCGAAACACTAAAAGTATAGTACAATTAAAATGAATATATGAGGAGAATTGAAAGGAATTTATATGAAGATAATATTCTTTCTGTGTATATAAAATCCAATAAGCGACAACTAACAGTAACAATACTTTCTAAATTTTTTAGAGTAAAATTTGGAAAATGAGTGATTCTTCCTTCAAAGTGAATTTTTCATTCTAAATCGTCAAGTGAATATTTTCACTCGAAATTGAAGAGTAAATCTGGGACAATCTATCGTCACAGTTCAATAAATTCACTCTAATCGATTTGAAACACTCGTTCATATGAAGCTAGAATTCTATTTCTAAGCTTGAGCGAAACGTTCACTTTTGCGATTTCGAGTGGCAGCATTTCCATTATCGCTTCGACTGAAAATACTGCCACTTTTCACTCGTTTTGAATGGGGATCCCGCTCCAAGGAATTTAGACAGTACATCAGTGTTACAATTTCCCACTCAACAATCTAACGGTTGCACACAACATATGTTACATTGAACCTGCATTGCTGAGTGGGACATCATAACATTGATTTAATGTCACTATTAATTGACATTAACTGGAGAAATCGCGTTGAGACGCGAAGTTCTTCCCAACAAAGTCACCTATCCGCGCGTTCTTCTTCTAACCATTTACTTGGACATCGGTTTCTTGCAAATACAGACACATTGAAGGAGTAGCAACGAATAACGTATATTAGATATCATTAGAGCGATGGTTCAGGAGTGTACAGAGTGTTGCATCAACATATTGGTTAGTATGGGGGGTCGCTTATTCGCTTGGCTGACAGATGCGCGTGCTCGGACATAAACTCAGCTTGGACTCGGCGACACGTGCTCGTTTGCAAAACAATTCACACTCATTTCTGTCGTTAAAAAAAAAATATATGACAAAGTGTCGTAAATCCTTTTGCTCGCCACACTAACCTGTATGTCGCTGCAACACCCTGTACATATTCGTGTTCTTCGGGATCGTGCAGGTTCTTCTTTCTCTTAACGGTTCTCTCAACGAAGTAAATGACCGCGTTTAATGTAGATCAAGTTCTACCAGTGAGAAGAAATGCCAGCGCGCGATAAATTATTCATTTCCGTAGAAAAAGGACCGCGGCTCTGGTGGAGCTCGCTTCGAAAGTGACGCAGGACCGGCCCCAGCTGAGGTGGATTTCGCGAAAATGCAGATCGCGCGAATCAACGTGGCGAACCCGCACTCGAGCCTCGAAACGAACGACTCAATCGTTCGCGGGCGCGCGTTCCCGCGACTTTCCCGATGCAGAAAGTAAAATATAGTTCTCCCGACAAGAGCGCTGGCCCGTTTGCATTCCGAAAAGTTCAACCGCGCTCTCCCGCGGCTTCTGAAATCGATGTCCATAAATAAAGCACGGTGTAGCGGCCGAAAAGATCGAATGTCTTTCGCGAGACGGTATATTTATCAGCCTTTCCAATCACGGCACGTCGATGTGTTAACGTCGCGGTAGTAAATGTCAGACGCGTCGGCAGGAAGCGCCGTCGTCGCCATCGCCGTCGTCTGGCCCCCAGGCCGTTTGCAGCGAAACGCGTGCCCCGCGCCCTGCCCGCTGTCGCGGCCTTCGCCCTCCCGCAAATAATTTCGCCGGCGACGGAAAATGCGATTTTCCGCGCGGCACGATATTGACAATTCGGGTTGAATTAACGCTCACTATCGGCGATCGCCGCTATCGACGGTGCACTCTCGGCGAGGCGAGGCGAGGCGAGGCGAAGCGGGGGCGGTGCGGCACGAAGGCGGCGAGACGTGGACCGTGAATATTTCGAACGTGAGGCATCGATAATCGTTATCGCGAGCCGGGAGCACGCGCTGCCGCTATATACGGAATGGAAAGGACCGACGGCGTATGATTAATTGCGAAAACCGACTAACTAAGCAAGTATCTCTCTCCTCTACGTGCCTCCCGAGATCGCCGTCGTGAGGTATACCGGCGTTATCCTCCTCTTACGCGGCGATCCTATCTCTCGACACACGTGTAAGCGCGGGGAAGCGCCGCTATTAAGAGCTGTTAGAGGGATAAGGGCGCGCCTGATTAATGTCCGCGGCCGATCGCGCCCGAGATCGCTAAACTGGCATGCCGCCTAGCCCCGGTCCGGTCTAGTCCAGTTTGCAATCGGTCAACTGATTGTTCGACGAGCTCTCTGCTGACAGGGAGTGTATTCTATGTGCTACTACGCGCGACAACACGCAGGCAGACGCGCAAAATATTTATCTCGTAGGATTATCTTGCATAACGAATCGTGGGTTGAAAACCGAAGTAGATCAGGAGTTCAGCATTGACACGCATTGAATACACTGCCGTGTGGGAGTGCTGGTTCCCGGTAACTTGGTTCTCAATGGGTGCCATATGAGGTATCGTCGTTGACCCTCAGCAGGCGAAGAGAATTTTATAGTGAAAATTTCTGTAGAATTTTCTAACTGAAAAGTAGATCGACGTTTTGTATTGCGATTGGCCAATCTTTCATTTCTTGCATTGAGAAAAAAATATCTAAGAAATAAAAATACTTATTCATTGGGTACTGAAAACATGTTCACTTATACTAATATAAAATATTTTTTTACAAAAATATATATATATATATATTTTTTCTTTAA